CTAGCTCTGCCACACTTGTGCAGGTGGGGCTGGCTATTAGCAATTCAGTCTTCTATTTCCCCTTTAGGGACCCAATCTAGTAATACTGGTTTGAATAAGGTCATAGTGAAGAAGACAGGAGGTACACAAAGGAGCAGGATGACAGCCTTACCCTTATTGCATCATACAGCATCGAGCTGGCTCGTGCTCAGGGGACAATACTCTATGTGCAACTTAGAGCGTTCTTGCTGAATTCCCTCTCTGCAAATGGAAAGCTACATATTTCTTAGCAGCACACAATGCACAGGACCGCTGTGTTCAGCACGTATGTGTTAATACAGGATTTTTAGTCTGGTTCTCTGAAAAGACTAAACCAACTGATTTAGATTCTCCTTTGTTATACCCATTCCTAATGTCAACTACTTTTGATAGACACACAGAGGTACTGAAGTTACTAAATTCTTCCACATTTCTGTGAAAAATCAGCATCACTGGGGTATCCCAGAATAAGCCACAGCTTCGGTATGACCTGTTAAAGAACAATGTTATTTCTTGTTGAGCTGGTAGATAGCAGAGGCTTCAAATAATTTATGTTGGAAGGGACCTTTGAGGGTTTTCACTCCAACCTCCTGCCCAGAGTTGGATCAGGTTGGTCAGGCATCTGTCCAGCTGAATTTTGACACTCCAAGGAGAGAGACCCGCTCCACCACCTCTATGGGCCACTGTCACCTACTCAACTACCCTTATTGTGAAAAAATGTGTTTCCTTATAAATAGTGGGAGTTTTCCTAGCTGCAACTTGTGTCCATTGCATCCTGTCTTTCTGCTGGGCACCTCTGAGAAGAGTCTGTCTCTTCTCTATAACCAGCCCTCAGATAGCCAAAAACAGCAATTACACCTCCCTTCCCCTTCCCAGGCTGAGTAAACACACCTCCTGCACATAAAAAATAGCTACTGGTATGTCCAATATCCTCCATAAAATTCTGAATCTCGGCTTTATGAAGACTGGAAGGCCACCAAAAACATAGTTCACATAAGGGAACACGGAATGGCATGTGAGAACAGAATTAGAGACCAAGCTGAAATCTTTTTCAGAAATCTACGTTTTTACTGCATGCTGTCACCCCGTCATCATATTATATCATACAAGCAGTTAATGGAAGAGGATAAAGACCTATTAAAGAACAATCATCCAATGCAATGCAGAAAGGCTACTGAGGGGAGCCTTATTTCTTAATGTAGAACAAATGTGATGGCAGTAGCAGGCAAAGACTCATGAGTCAAGCTAACCAAAACCCCTTGATGCTTACCAGAATAATTACTCAGACGAAATCTCCCCCAGCAAAAGTGTACTCGGCACTGCTTCACTACTTCTTCCTTCATTAGGCAGTGAAACACAAAGATAAAGAACCCTAAAGAAGTAAGAAGAGAAATTCACAGGGTTTCAGGTTTTCTCCAATGTGCTGTCCCATTTCTAAACTTTTTGTGTGCCACTCAGTTACCCGTATGTTATGTCTGGGCAGAGAGGTGGTCCCTGGGCCAGCACCATGTTGGCCCAGAATTGCACTGAGTCCTTTGTGCATATGAAAGGGTAATGAGAAGAGCTTGCTGCAGATTTGGTATCAGAACAATCTGCAAGTCACTAGATTCTATTAATCATTTTTCTGCCCAGATGAAAAGGATTGTGCCAGCTCCTGAAAAGATGCATTTATTGGGCCCCATGTTTCAAAGGCATGAATTTGTGTCTTTAATAGATCTATCACAGCAATGCTATCTAAACAACACTATCATCCCACTGCAATGCAGCATTCCTATTAAAATAGCTAAATGCTGTAACACAAAAGCTATATGAGCACTCCTCTTCCCCCGTGCTTGAATTACATGATTTTACAAATTTATTTCTATTCTACAGCTCTAAACTGTTGTATTTATAGCAGTACTCCATTCAGAAATTACCTTGCAAGGTGTTACAAATGCTGAAGAGATACAAGAAAAATATCCTCACTGCTCCCCAGGCAAAAAAGACAAAGCCCCAAGTTAAGCCCAAAAGGAACATCAAGCTGAAAGCACTTCTGAGGTCTTGGAGAAAACCCTGTTTCCAAAATCCAGTTCTCTTTTGTGTCCTTGATTTCACGGAGTGGATTTGAAGGAGAACTGTGATGTACATGCCTGTATTCGTCAAAAATATTAAGAAGACATAGGCCACAACGGAGATGTAAAACACTGTGTTCTCCTGAATCCAGCAACTGCAAGAAAGGGAGGTATGTATTCAATAAGGAGTTTTGTGAGCAGTGAAACTAATGAAGCCTGGTTTCTAAAATAAGTGTCCCATATGGTTGTCCAATACCTTGTAAGGGGCATCCCCTAACACCCATTACTTTCCCCCAGTGAAGACATTCATAGAATCTCTCCACTTGCCTTTTTTATGGATGTTATAGGAATTCAATAACTTTAAGACTCTTATATTTCTGCCCAATTCAGATAAACCTGACAATCAGTTTGCAATTTAATCATGTGTACACACAAATACACACTGCCATAGGAAAACCAAGTTAAACACGACTTAATTAGAAGTCTAAATAAATGGTATAGCACAGAGATGAGCACGGGTTAGCTTTTCCTCATACATAAATGAGGGACTTTTACTGCCTTTTTGCTGAAGATGGGCCACAATTTCCCTTCTGAGGTGTCATGGGCGTGTGTTGCCTCTCTGACGGGATAGAATTCAAATATTCCAGGTAATCTTCACCAACAAGTGATCAGATTGTGCTAAACAGAAAGCTGGCGAAAAAAATGTAAGCATTCTCTGCTATGAAACCCTTTTAAAAAAAGGATAAAAGAATGCAGTGTTTTCCCACTGGAAAAGAGAGGAGGTTGAGATGATTTAAATAAAGGAATTTGAAATGATGAAGAGACAGTGATGTGAATTGACATTAAAAAACCAGAAGCAAATGTGCGAAATGCTAGAGCGATTGTTCTGCCTTTAGGTTTTACCAGAAATCTAGAACATGCAGGAGCATATACAAATGCCCCATCAGACTGAATTAATGCCATGTACAGAAAGACATTTTCCAGAAAGTAAAAATGGAGTTAACTGGCAGAAGCCCTCCCTGTCCATTGACGAGAGAGTTACTCCATGTAGTAGCCATACATCCAAAATGAGAACCACTAGAAGGAGAGGGTTAAGATAGGGAAGAAAAGACAAAAGCAAGAGAGCAGTGGTTGCCTTCTGGTTATTTCTTGTATCTTTAAAATACTTTGGTGACCATCAAAAAGCCTAAAGTATTATACTTACAAACTGCTGAACGGATTGCTCTCAGAATGTGATCCATTGCCATAGAAGTCTTTATTTATAATGAGCACAATAGTAATTACAATAGCTGGTATTCCTAATATGGAAGGCAAGAGAAAAAGAGAGATTTGAATTAAAAAGAAAAAATTGAGAATATGGAAAGATGCTGTATAATATCTGATGAGTAATTACAGCTGACATGTACATCTTAGGATCAAACTCTACCCCTAAAGCTCCTTCTGAAACGAGTGTAATTAAGTGTGGCATAGCAAGTTTAATCTCCTTATTGATGTAAATTACAAATGAGTAGGCATAAAAATATCTGTGTTTGCAAAATGTTTGTGAGTGTTCGAACATCTCCAGAAGGGATCCAATCTGGTAAAATAAAACCAACTGATTATTACAAAAAGCAGAGTGTCAAAAGATAAGCAGACCACAGCATTTTGTGTTAAGATCTGAGACAGACATTTTCCAGACAGTGTTTTATCGGTTTTCCCTTCCACTCATTTCCCATTTCCCATATCTCTTTCAGTTCTGGCTTTTCTGTGGAGAACAGCTGCCGCCAACACCACCATCGTGGATGGCTGCCCCTGAGAACAATTCTGTGCGACATCAGAGCTAAGGATAGAGAAGATGATACACTGCACACTATTCAAAAGCCTAATAAAAACTTTAAAACAGCATCTAATGGTGACCCAAAAAATACAGACCAAATTCGGCTCTGGGTCAGTGTCTCTGATAACACATTTTCTAAGACCTCAGCCAGCATTTTGGGTCATTTTTGTTATGTTTCTCCCAAATGAGTCTCTGATGCTCAGTGCTTGGAGGAAAGGTGAATCAGTGAAGTCCTCAGGAGAGCTACAAATGAAAGCCAAATCCACCCCCCGCAGGGGAATCATGCACCGAATGGCAGGTAAGGACATGAGGCTGGAGAAGATCAAAATCACCTCTCAGCATCACCAGGGCAGGGGGAGAGGCTGTGGGCAGCTCATACTTCCTCCAGCACAGCCACTGACATGAGGTACTGTGATAAATCATTCCTGTAAAGAGCAGGAGGGGTAGGGAAAGCAGTTCTTAAACCCACTTTCACCTTTCCTTGCATCTGTGCAGGGAGCAACAGGCACATTCTGCTAATGTCTCCCTGGCAGAAGAAACTTAACCTGAACCTCCCTGGGGGGGGGAAGAAATCCATCCTTACGGCACAGGGTGTGCACCACATTTCTACTAGCTCAGTGTCCAAACTTACTTTTGCAGATCTGCCCCTATCTTGGAGAAGTTAACAAGCACAGAAATAGAGAAGAAATCCACTTACTTACCCCAGCCAGCAATACAGCATTTTAGGATGTACTTTGGGACATAAACATTGAAAACTTTGACAAGAACCAAGTAAAAGTGAACAGACTCCAGGCACATCCACGTGAAAGCTGCAAGAAGGAAATAGTGAAGGAGCACGGCCACGGTGATACAGAGATCTGGCTGGTTGAACGAGGACAGCCAGGAATTGGTGAGGAAGACCATGTTCAGCATCAGCAGTGCGGTACAGAGATTGAGCAGGATTTTTGAAGGGTTGTCTCTCCGCAGCTTTCTAAAAAGAAGGGGAAAGTCCACAAGGTTATCATTGCATGAGTTGTGCTGGGTGCATTCACTAATGCAAAGGAGCGCAAATGTGTACTCGTCATATTATAAATTGGCTTCTTGTGATCTAAGTTGGGTCTACATTAGTGTTCTATATCACATCACGAGTGTGTTTTTGAAGCAGATCTCCCAGGTTCTGTATACATGGAGACCTGCTAGGTTTTTCATACTTGGTGGAGGAGAGACAGACTTAACATCATCTTTTTACTACTGCATCAAATATTATTGTTATTGCAATATTACTGGATTATGAAAGTACCCACAGTTACCTAAGTCTAGGGCTACATCGTCTCTGCAGCTACTGGCACATATAGTATAAACCAAAACCTATTCGAAATGACAAAACACAAGAATGACCAAGAGCAAGAGAAGAGAAAATTTTCCCTATTTTACTGTTGATATTTTCCAATATATAGTCCATACACAGGGAATATTCCAGATTGCCAATATCATCCAATGTATAGTCTATATACAAGGAATATTCCAGATATTTTCCATATCTTACCTGTGTCCATGGGTAAATTTATGAAATGACAGAAATTTAGGAGACCAGTTCAGACTGATGCTTGTATTGAAGCATGAATGTTTGAATCCCTCTTATTTCACCACAGTCACAGGTCAAAATAAAACAATATTTATACTGTCAGCTCTCAGTCTTCCGTCCTATGCATCACAGCATCAAACATTACCAAACATTCTGATAGTTGCTGCAAATTCATTATTGCTAAAATATTAAAAGTTATGTAAGAAAAAAGATCAGACTTACTCAAGGGCTAGATATGTCACCAGTGTTATACCCAAAAAAAGGGAAGAAGCACCACATCCTGCATAGCTTATCAGAGTTAATATACGATCATGTGCGATATCTATCTCTGTCCGGGACAAGTCCTATGTTACAAGATAAAGAATCACAGTTGTTTGCCATAACAGATAAAATTGCTTTCCTTATTTTCACATTGATAAAGAAATAGATTTCTTTTCTGCTTGCTGCTATTCTTGGAGGGTTTCCATTAATATTTTTATGTGTTTCTTATTCTATAGTCCTACAGAATATCTACACTAGTAAAAATACGCATATTTAAAGTATCCAGTAATAAGTTGTGAAGCTAGAAAAGCTGTACTTCAGAAACCACAAATTCAGCAAGGATTCCAGGATCTTGCCAAAGTTATTCCAGTGGGAGCTCGCTTTGTAGGAGAAACTCTACTTTGTTTCAACGGCAGCAGCCGTGTCGGGAACTGCACAAATCTGCTAAATGTCTTGGAGCGTGGGAGGATCCTCCACATCCAGAAAACATCCCTCGGCAAAAATCAGCTGGGAGCCTGGGCCCTGATTCTCCACAGCTGCTGCTGGGAGTAATATTGAGAGGATTTTGTTGTTCCCTGCCACAAGTTCTCTTCTATTTGGTGAAACTTCGAACCTTGGACTAGTAACCTACATCGCTGATGTGATGCTGATTACTAAAGTGGCGGTGCAGAAGAGGTGTGATCTTAAAATCAGACTGAATTCTCTTTGCTTGAATGGAAACTTTAGCAAGTTGTCTGAAATCTGTAACCGACATTCCTTCCTGTAGAAACCACACTTTTTCTACCAGGGAGGGCTTTCCTGCCTCTCTCTGAGCAGGGTAATGCTGACCTCTAGGGGAGGCTGGGCAAGCAAAAGGGATGATGGCCTTACCCCATCGAGTAGGTTGTATCCTACTGGGGTTGGACAATTTTAACCTACTCAGTTCGCTTTGAACTTGCCTATCGCTTTGCATTTGTTGCAGCCCATTCTCAGGCAGTCATCTCATTTTTTGACGTCCAACTTTTAGAGGCAGTTTTCTCTGTATTAAAATACTGGCTGCCTTTTCTGCCCTATAAATAAGAGACGGTAGCTAATGACATCTCCCATATTTGTATTAAACTTCTCTTTCTGATGGAGTGTAGATAAAACTTTCAGAAAGATGTAACGTCATTAGTTGCCACTGGCAGGTAATAAATTTAACACAGAATTTCCAACGCAGCAAATAACACATTAACGTTGATTAAGTTACATTGCAAAGAAGTACAAACTACATCTGTAAAATGAATTTGCCTTGAAGCAAGTGGCATTTAGAGGACTTTATACCATATAAAATATTGTAACTGTTCTGTTTGTTATTAACTGATTTTGGCAAAAATTGCAGATCTCTAACAGCTTGTATAGATATGAATCTCCCATCTCTCCCCAAAACCAGTGATGACTTTGTTTAGTGCCACGGGACTTTTCTGGAGGTGATTCATGGAGTACTTACCAGTAGGACTCCAAAATGGGTAAGATGGTTACAAAAACAGATTGTGTAATTCATATCTGTATATTCTATTTCACACCCCGATGTATTCCAACCACCCAGTCCATCTGTGTAATAGAGAAAAAGGGATTTTTAAGCAGAGTTAGTCATGCTCATTCATTTATAGCTCTGCAGCATGCACAATGTGTGAATATGAGCTCAAGTTAGTACAGATTGCAGGGTCATTTAGCAGCACACGAGTGAGATTTCACACAGGAACATATCTTATATAGTTGCCTGAGAACCTCAAAACTTGGATGAAAGCCTTTGGTGGAATGCAGAAATATTTAAAGTCATTTACATGCCTGCACACAGAGAAAGCAAGAAGGTAAGGAAAAGTGCACCGGACTAGATTATGCTGCAGGGTGTGGAAACACAGAAGGCAAGAAATATTTACAGGGCAGAGGATTTGTTTAGGCAGAGTGTACTGTTGAAAAAGCCAGATCTTCCCCGGTAAGACTAAATTTATGACCCTATTTATGTGGCACATATGACATATTCAGAAGTTAAGCTTGTGATTTAAATATATATATATATATTGTAACACCAATAATTGCAGAGAAAAATATCTCCCACGTGTTCTAATTTAACCCAATACACACTTCTCTGTCTGTGGACTATCTGAGCCATATTCAAGACCTGACCACAGGAAAGCCCCCACTGACTTCCCTGAAGTAACTGTGAGAAGACATCTGATACATTTCATTGCATTTCTGCTTTTTTCTTAGACTAAGTCTTCTTATTCACGTAGATGCCTCATTGTACAATGCCGGACACATATCTCCTAGTAGTAACACCAATTACTGAGGTATCAACATCGGTGGAAACCAGCAACACAGACTCAACAGGACAACCTCAGAATTTCAATGCAATGTCAAAGAGCCAAAGACTGTGTGAGGCTGGCGACAGCAAGCGTGGCAGCTCTGTATATAACACTTACCGTTCTTCTGAAAATCCCAGAAGACGCAGTGCACTGCTGCATTACCCTGAAAGCAGAGAAAAAAGAGGCTGCAACATTTATTCAGTACGTCTGTGCACCGCCTGCACTTGCAGACGGTGCATCTTGCCTGTAATCGGGGTTTATAACTAAGGCAGTTTGATTTGATTTCCTCCATACTGCTCAACAAGAAAGCCCACTGATCTCTGCGATTATTTGCATGGTGGTGCCGCAGAGGGTCTGTAGGTGACTGGAGACGGCAGCAGTTCAGGTGCAGTTGGACACTTGGTCATGGGGAGCACACTGGATATCGGCCATCTCACCCATGGCGCTGAAAACCAGCAGAGGGTCCCAGTTCTCACCTTCCCCTTTACCAAGGGAAATCTTGGGATTCAGTGATTTTCCCACTGTCCCCAGTCTTTCTGTATCTTGTCTTTTAAGGACAGCAAAAAAATCTGACAAGTTGTCCAGCTTAGACCAATTCCTATGTCTAATCTCATTGGCTTCATGTGGTATCTGAGATGTCATACCGAATTACTGGTGAAATTCAAAAGTTATGTCTAAGACATAGAATGGCAACCTGAGATTTTACACAATAAAACCCCCAACAATTCTCAACACAGGAAAACCTTTATTTTAGTATTTCAGTGTTTCCACTGTCTCTGAAACCAGGCGGGGAAGACACCTAAGAGACAATAAAGCTTGCCTGCATATTGCAAACAGCTAAACAGATTAAAATGGTTATTCAATGCAATGTTTTCTCTTGGGGACATTCTAGTTTATTACTCATAATACTGCAGCAAACTTTCCCAAGGCACAGATTAATTTTCTTTTATTATTAATAAATTTTAATAAAACACAAGAGTTTACAGGAAGCCACCCTAACAGATAAGCTCTTAAGACGTGTGATCTGTAGAGTGTCAAATATAATTGGGCAGAGAGCCAGGGAAGTAGGTTAGGATGATATGTCATTAAATATTTAATTAGGATATTTTTAAAAGGTTGAGAAAAAAAAATCGGAGAGGTGCCAGATGGCCTGGTGGAGTAAAAATGATGGAAGAGAAAGGATATCTAGATTAAATTTCTGGGTATATATTATTTGCCAGAACAGAATGGAAAGAGCATATTGCCATAAAAGCAGCATTTTCAAGCTCTCATTAACTTGAACTTTAATCAAATTCATCTTACTGAATAATTTTGTTCTGCCCCAGGTTTGCAATATATTCATGTGGAGGCTGGACCGTAAACATTGGCAACACAAAAATGCTAAGGTGGAACTCGGTCAACAAGTTTGATCCATGCCCATTTAAAAATAATTTGAGATAGATTTTAGTTTTGAAACATCATTTTGAAACAAAGCAAAGCAAATTAATTTTGAAAATACCTATGCAATGTTTCGATTTTATTGAAATTTACTTCTTCTGGTGACTAAAACAATTTGCTGAATTTGGAGGAACTACAAATCATTTCAGTCAAATTCCTGCCAGTTTTTAGCAAATAAACTATTCCTTGAAAAAAATTATCCAGATCAAACCAAAGAAACAATGAAAACACCCCTTGCTGCTAAGCATGGATCTAGAGTGGAGACGCAAGCTTTACTAACCTGCAGGAATTAGACACTGAGATCTGTGTGGTCTGTCAATGTTTTGGTTGGTGGAGAGGTCAGGCAGTAAAATATTTTAAGCTTATTTGTCCTGTTGCCAGTTTATTGTAAGGCTAAGTGAAAAAGGCTCTACTTCAACACATCCCTGATGAAATGAACACATCCTACCATATTTTGGTCTATGTGCTGAAGAGTAATAGTCACAGGCTCATTAAGGTTCTGAATTGATGCGTTTTCAATGCTGGCACTCACGACATAAGTATTCAACCTCTCCTTTGTTAAACCGTCATCCTGCAGTGGAAAAATACAGTCATGCAAAAAAAAAATTAAAAAAAAAAAAAAATCCAAGTTCTTCCCTACTTCCATTTTTTTAAATTGTATCTCTTGGAAATGGTGACCAGCTAAACACCATGCCTGATGTACTTTAGCTACTTGCTACTTCATTAGAAAATGTAGTTAGTTGCAAATTCAGGGACAGTTTCCACATCAGCTGAAGTAGAACAGAGTTTCAGATGCATCAGCTGGATTGAGAAAGCTGTATAATCGTTTCAGTATATCAAAACATCCAGTTGTACATCATTAAGCTCATTAGACGGTAGACACAATTGTGAATGCTTCTTCTGTGTGAAAAGCATTGCTCAGCACACTGTATGCTCCATCATACCAAAAGAAATGTCTCCCTTTTTAATTACACTCATTCACCTCGCCCGAGTTAAGAAAACACAGCAAATACTAGAATAGTCCTAAATGCTGCATATCAGTGGTGCTGTTATTTTAATGGAAACATAAATCTTGAGATTATTTTAATGATATTTGACATGTACTATGCATGTTCCTTAAACAAGAGCTTACTATCAAAGGAAGATTAGCGTATGTTCTTTTCCTGCAGAAGAGCAGTATTGGAATAATGTCATCTACAGAAAATGAACAAAAAGTCTAAGGTCTACAGACACCTCTCAGAGCATCATTGCTCCAGCAAAGGTTTTGCTGCCTGGGTACATTGTCCCTGCACATTTCTTAGTGCTCCATCAGTCTGATGCTAAATGTGCCCAGAACAGATGATGCTATTGGGATTTTTCTTTTGTACACAGTAAGAACAGCTGAACTGATTACTGCCGTGTTAGCGTTTGTTAGGAGTCGTAGTTACCACAAAGAGCGAAGTAGCGCCAAAAAACTTAAACTGGATCTTCGAATGCTTGTTTGGGTCAGAGTGCTCAATCCCTAGGAATTTCTTCAGTGATTTTGGCAAAAACACTGAGGCCAAGGCCTTTTTGAAAGGATTTTCTTGAACATTGATCTGCAGGAGAGAGATGACATGCTCAGAGCTGCCTTCCTCAGGTCAAATACACAATGGTACAAAATAGCAGCAGGATTGTCTGGATTAATCAGTGGTCCCTGAGGTGATACTTTGTTCTCACCTTGAGATCCACCCCTCTGTCATAGGAGGTAACGCCAAAGGCCAGTCCTTCATATACGCTGGGATCTGGACGCATCACCAACAAAGCCAAGGAAGTGGTTATGACTGACGTATTTCTTTCTGTGTAAGTCACCTTATAGCCAATCTCCTCAGTTGTCTTCAGGATACTTTACCAAGAGCAACAGCAAGAAAAAAATAAATATATCCTTTCAAATGTTCTCCTGGCTTCACAATATCCAGCCAGGAGACAATCAGCTAAAAACCTCTGCTCTGATTTATGATCACAAGGAGCATTCGCTAGAGCAGAATGGGTCAGGTGATGGCAAGCAATTGAGTTGGCATGTTTCAGTAAGCTGGAAGTCTGGCAAGTGGAAGATACGCTCCTGGAGGGTCAACATGAGGTGGTTCTGGGAAGACCCGAGTCAAAAATCACACCCAGTCAAATACTGCATTTCATCTGGAAGGCAGTAACTTGTAAAACCTGCTAATTTGATTGTTTGGAATCATCTATTTGTACCCGCAGGTAAAATATCAGAGCCAGAATAATCTAGTCTGCAAGGGATGTCTGGAGGTCTGTCATCCAAGTCCCCATCTCCCATGGGCAGGGCATATTTTAAAGGTAGGTCAGCTTGCTCAGGGTCTTGTCCAGTAAAGCTCTGAATATCTCTGAGGATGAGATTTCACAGGCTTTCTGGGCCCTGCTCTTAGTGGGTGTTTTTTTTTTTAGGTAGAGAGAAGAGGCTGGAATCCAAAGGAAGCAGCACATGAGGGTTGTTTAATGCTCATGGGTATTACAAGTCAGAGACTGTTCCACGTCTTGTTTGGCCTCCCTTAAGGCTGTTCAGCAGTATGCAAGAAGGGATAATACTCTGTTGAAAATGTGCAAGACAGCTGGCCCTGACAGACTAAAGGAAAACCTTCCTGTCCTGCTTTGGTCTGGTGTTATCTTCATGCATCGTCAGTCCCAGACACACAAGGACCCCCATGGGATCCCTTCAGCCACAGCTGCCCTGTAGCTGCAAAGTCTGGAGTTCAACGTCCCCAAAATATCTGGGATCCAAAACTTCTACCGAGGCCTGAAAGAAGGAACGTAATAGCTCCTTGCGAGGATATCAGGCTAGCACTTGTCAGGTATCATCACAGTGGTCATGCTCTTCTGAGGTCTGATTTATGGAAAAATTAAAATACCTAAGATTCTCCTGTCCACAGAAATTGTAAAGACATTGTTATTACAACATGTACATACCAACTCTATCTCCATTAAAGATCAGGAATCCAGGGCCTATTAGAATATCATCCTCATCCCCTGAACCTTACATTTCACAGGAGGAGAATTCAAAGTAATGGATATTTCACTTAAAAACCCCCTACAGCCTATTTGAGAAGGCAGAGGTGTTGAGTGCTGGCAGCTATCACAGCCCCCACTCCACACACTGCAGTGCGGTAGACTTTGAAGAGAAAGCATGCAGCCAAAAGGATCACGATGCTACTCAACGCTTTCTCTCCGGCAGATTTTCTAAGCTATTTTTGGCTACTCTTCCTTGCGGACTCCTGAGTTTGAAAAGGCAATGCATAGTTGTCCAGTACAAACAACTGGAAAGTTCATTTTTCTTGCTTTGAATGTTTTTGGTTTAATATTTCTTATTAAAATATTGTTTTGCATTAAGTGAAACAGAAAACTGCAGATAGGCACAGCCTTTAAAATGAGAGATGTTGAAAGACTTTTTAATATGATGAACAGAGCATCTCTTACACTGTTGGTTAGCGTTGGATTGGTCAGTGCAAAGTAGAATAATCTTCCCCATCTGGAGCCTCAGGCGGTGCAGTGAGAAGTGGGTAAGCTGTCTTGCCCAAATCAGAAACGGGTAAACTCTGTGTACTTGCATTTGCCTTTGCAAAGGCTGGCAGTAGGTTTCTGAATGGTGCTCTGCTCGGCAACAGAAGCCAGACATTTCAAAAACAGGTAGTTGAGTTACCTTTAAGTTCTCAAAGGAGAAAGATGTTTTTAAGGTGATCTAGCAACCTTAATTTTAGCATGTGTGAGAATCACACAATGGACGTAGGATCCTAAATGTGCATTTTGAAGTCTAACATTGAATAGCTATGTCTGAAAAATCTTTATCAGCAAAGGTACAGTGCTCGGCTCTGGTGTGCTGGTGGAACAGACACGTGTCTCCAGGCTGACCTGCCAACAGACCTGCTGAGCTGTAAAGATCACTGCTGAGCTGAGCTGAGCTGAGCGGGCAGCTAGGCAGTCACCCTGATCTGCCCTCCAGGCTGAGATGCCCAGAGAGAACAGCTCTGTGATGGTGACTTCTGCAGAACTGGTTCTGGTAAAAGCACCTTTGACAACACAATAACCATTTTCTACTGCTAAGAACCACACACATGTTTAAGATCCAAGTACAGAAATTGCTAACTCTTGTGGTGATATTTTAATAGACTGAATGAATTACTCCATGGTGCCATTTTAGCTTAGGAAGCCACTTCTGGGCAAGTTATCTCACTTACCTATTGGTCATTTTTCTAATGTTCTGATCTTCTATTTCTTGCAGCAAAATATAGTTTAGTATCGACAATATAGTCCCTGCAAGTGTCACACTCATATCTGCAAGCCTTACAATATCAGAAATTTTACTTGCAATGATTTCTAATTCTTCCATATGCAGTGTTGCATCTGGCAAGAGGTATAAAATATGCTGTACAACATCTTGTGCGTTCTCTGAAAAAAAAAGAAACTACAGACAATCTATGTGGCATAGCTACATGCCTAGCTATATAGCTACATGTCTCTACTCCTTGTTAAAGCAAGTAGTTAGTCTGCTTCTCCTCTCTTTCCATATGGTCATAATGCTTCTGATCTATTACAAAATTGTCACCTAAGAATAAGTCAATAAGCCCTCAACATGTCAATGAAACTGGCAAAAACTTCAAAGCAAAACCCGGATATCTCAGGTTGTATTTTAAAGGAAGAATAAGAATATTATCGCCTGCTTTTGGATTATAAAGATTACCTGTAAATAATACTTAGTTTTAACTTTGATCATGTTTACAAGCATTTGTGAGTTCAAAATTAGGTAAAAGATCCACCCCACTCCCCAAATGCTGCTTAACTGGTATAGCAGCCAAAGCAAATTCTGAATGGTATAGTTTGAAAAGTTGTATTTGCCATTCATCATCTCATCATCCTTCTATATTTTTTTTATAGAAGCAGAGTTTTACACCCTGGGAGTCAGACAGACTGTACGCAACTGCAGATATCTTTCAATGATCTATTATTTGATGCCACTGCTGAGTAGGTGGATAAGCTATGGTATTGTTTTTGTTCACCAGTCACACAATTTGCTCTGTTTGGCATAGCTTAAAAGAAGGTATAATCAGGTGGTACTGGTCACGTTATAGCTTACATGAATTGCAGCACAAACTTTTCAATTCCATACACTGATTTGTGCTTCTTTGTATGAGATCTACAGAACATGAACTATGAAATATTTTGATGTGGTAGTAGAGTACAGATAGGCAAAGCCTGTCATGTGACTTATTGGTTATTTACTTAGTTCTAAATCTAAGTGTAGGATTTGAGACAAGTCTTCAAAGTGATAGCTAGAGAATTTTGAAGCACCTGCAAAATTCATCTACAATAAAAATGCTTTAAGATGACCAGGTGAGTAGGGTGTATATAAAACAACCTTTTCGCTTCAGTTCTTCAGATGTCCAACGTAAGCATTATCTGAGTATAACTATTTTTATTTTGAATCACTGTGTCACTGAAGTATCTGGTGCCTTACCTTCTGTTATCATGATATCATGGAGGTCTACAATATTATTTGGAAGTTCTTCCAGTAATTTACATTCACTCATATTTGGTTTCTTCCAAAAAGCTTGTTCAAGTTCAATATTAATTGCACTGAAAAAATAAAACAGTGTACATTGTTACAAGAAAAATTGATGTTCCTCATATTTCCCATTCAAGTAGCTGAGAATGTAATTAATTAGCCCAATTTTGAAAACTAACTTGCAAGTCAGCTGTGACTTAGCACTCATTTCCCAGAGCCCAAATGCCAGAGCAATTTGAAATGCATCTAGAGGTATTGGAGGGCAGAGAGCCGTGAAAGGATGGCACAAAATGCTACGGTGCATCTGTTTCCCCTCCCTGCCCAAGCAGAAAGTCACCTTCTTACTGTGGTGGCTTGGACTGGCTGCAGGTGATGGAAATGATGTACTACTCCCTTTTCATGCAAGCTCTGCTGGACTGGCCCTGTATACTATGCAACTTTCTTGGCATGCACTGCTGTGTGCCAGCACAGACCACCATCTGGTTCCCCATCACACAAACCTTGGTGCTCCCACCTGTTTCACACGCGAGAACCAAAGTGAGATGATCTCATCACTCACCAACTCCTTTGAGCAGACTGCAGAGGGTTTTTCTTGCAGCTGACCTCCGTTTTGGTAGCTGGACTTGTTAGCGGCCAGGAATAATTTCCCTTATAGGTTGTGTGTGAAAAGCTTTCTGGACAATCCATTAGTGCTGAGGAAGAAATATATAAAAGCTCTTTAAAAAGATTTAATAGTCAAAAAGAAGACCCCTCTGACACCCAGGGACCCAGCTGTTCTCTGGACCTCCCTTCCTGATGGGACTGAGCTGTAATTTGCAGACTGGATAGGAGTATTTTACAAGTTTATCGGCTGCAAGAATAAATTTTGCTTAAATATTTCACCTGTTCTTCTATGACCTTCTTCTCTTTTGTCCTACAAGGTCAGTTCTCAGGTAAAGTGTTCATTTCCCAGCACCACAAACCGTATTTAATGACACTGCATCCTGCAGGCTTGTCTAATCTATCTGAAGGTGCTTTCTTACTGCCCCTCCTTATCCCATCAATGTCTTTCCTCCAGGCTTGTAGTTTAATTGTCTGCAGCTGATCTTTTGTAAGTCTTTAGTATAAAGTGTGGGTTTGAATTTCAGGTACAGTCTATAGCTCCTATCTCTGGCTTACTTCTGTATTTTAAAGAGCAATAGGGATTGTAACCAAACCAACAAAGAGATTATTTGCCATTTGAGGCTTGGTCCAATATGCACTGGCATTAAGCAAATGTCTGCAATGGGTTTGGTTTCCATGTCTGGCTCTGGTCTCTCCCAATAGCCAGGCTCTGGGCCACCGGCTATGAGCAGGGGCTCCTGGATTTGCAGCTGCATCAGCCTGACCTTCCCTTCATGGCAAAGGTGCTCAGACCTGCCTCGGAATCAGGATTCCAGTTTTACCTTACCTCTGTTTGTCTGGAACTTAAGTTTTCAGTCTTGCTGTCATTGCATGATGCTCTGCAGCTTGTGCATCAGATGAGGTCAGCCTAGCTACTTGTAGCGATGTTTTCTAGCCTTAACCATTCCACGAAGTTTCAATTAGATAAAACTCTTGTAGCCAGAATTACAATGCATGGGATTTCAATGAGGTTTTAACGATATATTACCTATTGGCTTGACAGCCACATCTTCAGGCTTCACAAATAAGGATAGTGGTCCCTCCTTGTAAGTGTCATTCAACAACTGTTTGATCTTGGAACTCAGCACTTCTTGCATTTCAAGTGATGTAGCCTTTATAATGCCCTTACAGACGTAGCTATAGATATAATACACAAACAAGGCTACCATATTAGTAACATTTTACAACTGTAAGTAGCTACAAAATTAAGGAATAACTCAGAAAACTATATTGAATGGGACAATTTATGTATGTATTTTGTTCACCATAAGTGCAATCCTATGACAAATGCCAGCAAACGCCACCTCTTCTATACACTAGTACCTTATTGCTGGAAATGCTTTCTAAAGTACAAATTATTGGGAATACAGGTACAAGAATCTATTTATAGTTTCATGGTAAATACCTCAAAAGATTTCCTAATCAGGTTATCCTGGCAAAGGAACAACTCTGTCAAAAGTAAGAATTTTTCAACCATGTTTTAACATTTGGAGTGAGCTAGTCATAAAACAATGAGGTACCTGAGTACTTCTCTGTCCCAACAGAGGTGGCAGACTCCAAGGCTCCCTGGAAAACTGAGACTTAACTAAGTGCATTCAGTGGCTCCACCAGATTCCAGCTTTTTTCTCCTCAAAACAGCTATTCTTCTGGATAACTACATTTGCTGGCTTTACGAGGTTTGGAAAGACTGTATCTCAATCTTTGAGTGGCTTCACATGTGACAGAAGGAAACAAAAGCCAGCTCTCAGTTGTGCGTGGATCACCTCAATGGACCTCTAATTTAACTGAGGGCTAACGAGTGAGGTTTCCTTTGGACTGGGACGTTTCATGTGTTTCTAGCTCACTCCTGTTTCTACACAGTTGTTCCCCACTCAGCATTGCCTTTGTAAACCATTTGCAACCCCTTGAAGGTGATGGGAACCCAGCTTTCCTTTCTTTTCTGGCCTGAGGTCAGAAGGCAATTAGGATTTCCTACAGAAGAGGTGCATGATTCATCCTGGCAGACTTCTGGGGCACTGTCCACCTACTGTTCTGGCCCCAGTGAAGGATGCTGCTCACAGCCAGCTCTTAGAGTGAGTGCAAACTGCCCAGCTTGCCATGGAAGCACCTGGAGCCCACCAAGGTATGGGGTATGAGAGGGAAACCTTGGATGCTCAAATATGTTTCCCCAAGTCAAGAATTACTGTGGATCTGACTCCACATGTGCTTTTCTGGTTTAGACAACTAAAGATTCCACACTTACTCTGAAGCTAAAACAGCCGAGAAGGGGTATAATTCCTCCTCACCCTGAAAATGAAATCAATATGAACTACAGACACCCAGTTCATAACCATGGGTCTTACCTTTGTGACATCTGCTTTACCTTCATCTTCCGTTCACATAGAAGGACACAAAAAATTAGAAGATGATTAAAAATTAACTGGCACAACTTGGATTTTAAGGAAAGCAAACAGTAGAAACTCAATGTGCTCATTAAAATAGATCCTATTGCTTTAAATGTTACTAGGACCTGACTCTCTAGAGTAGCTTTTGTTTCACAGTATTTCTGGAGGTACATCAGGATAAAGCAGAACCTCATAGTGCATTGATGCTGCGTCATGCAGAGAGCAGAGTGGATCTATGTTTAATGCTGTTCAATGAGTATGCTCACCAGAAGGCTATTGCAAAGTAGTCTGCTTGCAGATAGTGCTGGGCACATCCAGCATTCCTTTGTCTGCACAGAACATATCAATATCTACTGAAACATAGTGGCTCTCCAGCCCAACTATTTGCATGGGGTACACCTACCAGATTGAAGGTCAATATTTAATAATTTCAATAAATCACAATAGTATTAGCATTTAGACCATGCAACTACTATATCCTCTATGCAGAGATAAGAGAAAGTAAGTTTTTAAAGCAGAAAATATCAAATTACATACATGAGCCCTCTTATAGACACTGCTTTGTGGATAAATACCCCTGCAAACAAAAAAGAATAGAATAATTATTTCACAGTAAGCATATAAATAGACCACGCCCCATTCTGCTATCACCTATAAAAAATATTTTGCTACCACAATGAGCCAGACCTTGCAGCAGAAAAGTCATCTTGAATTCAGCAGAGGTGCGTGAACATAAATCGCCAAGAACAAGTGCTGTAACAGATATGCACCCTGACAAAAAACGCGTATTCCAGAATGGGACCCACCCTTCTCTTACGGTTTTCCAAGTCGGATTCACCCCATGTAAACAGTGCAGAGTGTTACTGCACTGTCATTTGTAAAGCAAGCAGTAACTGTGGAAGTCAGAGACGATAGTAGGAAGTCAAAATATGCATAAAATTATAAAACTCCAAGTCTGTACAAGGGATCCTTTTATGAATTGCTAAGTATCCCTCTCAGCTGCTCACGGTTCAGATAGGAATACAGCGGATTGGGCTAAAAGCTATGAAATAGAGGAGTCATGCAAAAAGCCATTGCTTCTGAGCAGGGTTTTGGATCTAGAATATCCTTTCATTAGACACTGCCACACAAGAGCCAGTGTGTACGTACTTACACAAAGTAGACAGCCCCCAGGGATCTGTGACCCTCACTCTGCCGACGGACATGACCCCTAAACTCTTTCACACTCACACGCAATCGCAGAAACAGGCCTTCAGCAATACTCACATGAATGGACCCTGCAGGTACCAGCACTCTGCCCTACTTTCCATCTCCCGCAAGTGCCTATTTCTGTACTTTTTGACTTGCCAGGATGGCATACCAGATACATCAGCCCACCTGACGCATTGCTCCCACACTGCAGAGGCAGCAAAGGTTTCATCTTCATCCAATTTATATGGCCAGAGATGAGGTCTCAGGGTAGCAGCAGCAGCTACTTGCCTTGCATTAGGCAGGATATATATTTTCAGGTGAATGAGCCCAGTAAACAAAATGTGGGTGTTCCACGTGACCGCAGTTGTACAGATCTGGAGGATTGGTTTATACCCTTGTCACAGGACTGGCCAGTTGTGAAATGGGTATTTGGAACCTGGCTGCAATTTTGCTCAAAGGACAGAGGGTCAAGGTGACACCACTTTACAGCCAGACGCTTACCTGACTTTAAAGTTTGTCATCACAAATTCTTCTCCAGTAAATATGATACTAAACTGGAAAGAAAACAATAACATTTTTATTAACTTGATTTATTGATACTTTATCTAGACCGGCTTGTAAATTTAGAATTGTCATCAAAATTCTAAATCCTGATGAAAATGGCTAAAAATTTTTGCAAAATGTCAACACTTTTCCCTTCCTTCTGAATTTAATTTTATCCTGTTAAAAATGCATTGGATAACATGATTCTGAAACGCCACAATATTGTCACATGGCTCCTCATCTCCGTGTTCTCCCATAAGTTTGCATTCTGCACCAGCTGTCCTTATCATCTGATACTTGCTAGAAATACATGAGAATGAGAAAAGAAAGCTACTCACCCAGTTTCCAAGAAGCTTCCTTGCATCATAGTAATCAGGAGCTCTCTCAGATTTGTAGAAAAGGGAAAAGTTCATGTCAACGTTAAAGAAGCTGACTGTAAGAAGAGAACATAAGTGAGATGCATCCCCTAGTTTGCACAGAATGTGCCTGCACCCCTTCCCATCTCCTCACCCCTCCGTTCAACCACGGTTGTGTTTCCCATTCCCACAGTCACCAAGACTCTTTGGGAAATCCCACTCTCCAAGTGTCCGAGTCTAGAAATTTACTGAAGAGCCTAAGGACCCAAGAACACGGCCAAGTTGTGACACCTTAACAAACAAATTGTGGTTCGTACTTGTGGGTGCACTACCTTGGATTTTACTGCCCGCTAAGAATGCATAGGACTGACTTACGCAGCAGGAGGATCTGCTGACGTTTGACACCTTGCTAAGCAGCAATAGCTTAAACATGTGACTGAGTATTAAATGGTCATGTGTGTGGTGTCAATCAGTGTCAGTGATGGTCGTGACAGCATTTAAAACAGCCTCATTTGGCACTTACGTGGAATGGTGCCATTGGTGCTACTGGTCGGGGATAACGGTGGCAGCATGGGAGCCCTTGTTGACGATGCTTCACTCGATCCTGCTAAAAGGAACATTAAAAGGCCTAAGAATCCACAGTGGCAAAAGCGTAAGGAAGAGCACAGTCCAGGTGAGAGAGAGGTATGAGTCCTTCAGCGAAGGTCATCGTAACAAAGAGCTGCTGTTGTTCCACAGACCTCTGCAGGGTGGAGGCAAAGGGGGAAAATACACCAGGGAGGGGGGGGTAATTTCTCCAGAGGTAACTACAGTGTTACAAGGGAGAAAACAGGATTTGCAGAGTTTAGATCACGAGGAAGACCAGAGTCTATGCCACATTATCTTTTTTCGTTGCTTCTGTCAAAGAGCAGTTATCTCTCTGTTCCCTTCCCCTGTGCCAGCCTTCAGGAAAAGGCATTTGTCAAACGCGGAATGCTAATGGCTTAACGTGCAGCAACGAATGTGAGGTGGACATTGATATTCATGGTCTCTGATTTAATGATAACCTGGCATAAGGATTCCCATTATAAATGCCGGCCACCCTGCCTGTCGTTTTCAAAGTAAACCATTCAGAGAATTCGTTCGCAGATAATTTTCCTTGAAGTGAATCACCTTGTCAAACCAGATATGATTTTTGCATTTCACATGCAATCTGCCACATCACCAGGCAGACAAGGACAAAACAGGTGATGTTTGTCACATCTGTACTACAGAAAATTGCAGCGAACCAAATCACCGTATAACGTTACAGGCCTCGGTGATGAAAGAAAAGCAGGATCACAACATTTTGCTCTGGAGGTACCATTTCCTTGCTATGCTGGTAATTTGTGTTTTTTTCTTCACTCACATGACTGTCAGAGACTTGACATTCTAGCTCTGACTAAGAGAAATAAACTTAACATATGAATACAAAGCCAAATGTCTATGAATAAGGAATGTGGTTGGAAATAAGTAGGATAAGGCCATGCTTCATAAAACATTGTTTTCTCTACTGTAGTTCAAGGTAAGGAGAATCACCCATGCTTAAAATATAACAGCCCGTCTCTGACCCATTCAAATCAATGGCAACACATCTATGGACAATAACAGAAACAGGGTCTGTTAACAACTTGAAGCCTCCTATTTTTGTCCTAAATAGCTTCAAATTATTTTGTGAAATTGAAAGGACAGCCGAAGTCAAAAGCCCCTTCTGAACAGGCACGCTACAGTATACAAGCTTCTGCTTCCTAGAGAAACAAGCAATTTCACCCTTTACATTAAGCCACCGGCTGTGTGCTCAGCACAAAGTCAAACCAGAGTAATTTCTGAGTTCTGACTTCATGAACACGTAAAATTGGAAGTCCAGCTCCCAGCCGTCTCTCCAAGGCTGGCTCCTGCAGACTAAGCTCAGACCCTTCAGGCTTCAGCTCAGACCTTCAGCCTCCAAATCCTCCCTGGAGGTGCCAGTCTGTGTTTTGGTGTCACCTCAGGATCTAGCTGGTTTCAGCCCCTGCAGTGTCATCAGCAGAGGCAGCAGGCTCAGAGCTGGCAGCGAGCCAGGACAAAGGAAAACAACCCCTCTAAAAAAAACAGAAGGACCTGAAACTAAGGGGATGTGCTTTTCCCTCCAACCCCCGTGCACACCAAGCCCTCCCCATCCTCACAACACATACTACCGTGAGAATACAAAGAACAAAACCCGGAGTACCTGACCCCCAGTGCTGCAGAGAGGCAGATATTCCAGCATCCCCAGTGACTTTAATCCCACAGCTTCAACTTCTAGTGGAAACCTCTCTGCCTTCCTGTGGTGCGAAGCTGCAGAGATGGGGTCAGTGAGCTCCAGTGTGATACTACAAAAAATTAGTCCCTGGTTTCAAGCTGACAGAAAATGAGTCTCTTGTTATAAGCTTTTTTTAAGAACTGCTGTTGTAGAGGAAATGCGATGAGAACGCAGAAGGGCCAATGCTGTGCCGACATGCCCTACCACTGGAGTAAATGCATTTTTCTTTCCTTAGAGAAATACACGTATGATATTAGGCTATGATTTGTAAAGCCATAAACCACACTGTTAGTACACCTGGGGTTTAACTTGTCCTCCTGACTGTTACAGTGCTGCAGATCCTCTCCAGATAGGAGGGATCTGCATATAGCTGGGTGATTATGGGCTCCACTCTGCTCCTGTTGTTATTGGTTTAATGTTTCAAAAACCATTGTCTCAGGGGTGATGTATGACATCACCCAGTGTCAGCCAGGATGAATCAGAAAAATCTGCAGGGGGAAAAAAAATAACAGAGAAATGGCCAAACAAATCTCAAACCCATTTGTCGTGGTTTAACCCCTGCTCTCTCAGCTTCTTCTGCACCTGGCAGGGTGTGAGAAGCTGAAAAGTCCTTGACTTAGTGTAGAGACAACAACTAGCTATCAACAACTAAAAACATCAGTGTGTTATCACATTACTCTCATACTAAATCCGATACACAGCACTACAGTGGCTACTAGAAAGAAAATTAACTCTATCTCCGCTGAAAGCAGGACACCGTTCTAATCAGGAATGTAACTCTCAATGCCATTCTCATCTGACAAATGAAGCATAATTACAACTTCACAGATTCTAATTTATTTCTTTCTCTTTCTTATTACCACCTGAAGAAAACAACAATCTGTTTATTCTCACATGTCAAGGATCATTACCAGCAGGCAGGTGTGCGACTAGCCACATCCTGCAACTTCATTTGCTTTAATTAACATGCATGTAATTCCATTCACGAAATGAGGGCTAAGGAGTGATGACAGATGAGATCTGAACTTAGAAAAATACTGTGCCACTGACGTTTTTAACATGGATTTTGATTTGATAATTTAATAAATGGTTTACTTGGCATCCTGTAAATACGTATGGTTTCCAATAGAAAAGCAGCAAAAATTAGACCAACCAATAAGAGAACTGTAATAAATATATTTCTATATTATTAGCAGTCATTTTCAGATATTATATATTCATCCCTCTTCCAGCTTACTTAAAATTAAGAAGAAAATCAGAAATCAGTGTGTGGGTGAGGTAGGGGGAGGAAGAGATGAAGACTGTGAGTCAGTGAGAGGATTAGCACACACACTTTTACTTCTACACTTTTAGCAAAGGCCCAGCCAAGCTGGAAAACTAAAGGATCATCTTCAAGAACTCTGGGAAAAAAAGCAGAGACAGAACAATAACTTCACTTCTGCTATAAACCAAAGCCAGTGCAATTTCTGTGATAATTCTATCACTTATAAAAAGTCATCACACCTTCTTAAGGCAGCTTCCTGCTACATTTATGTGAGAAGTTTCACTCACTTTGCCTAAATGAGTCCTGGCTTTCCAAAATTATTGTAGGATTTCCAAAACAAAGCAGGCTGCCCAACTTCCCAGCACAACTGCATAAACTGTCCACTGTCAAGGTGAACCAAGCCCTGTAAACTAAAGCAATGTCCAGGTCTATGTCTATAAACAACATATATAAACACGAGAAGCAAACCTTGCAGCTAATAATTGTCATAGGGCATAAGTAACAATCTGAATCACCACATCAGCATTGAAACGGCACGTCCCTGTGACATTTCATTACATAGCAACACTTTGGCACAACTATTTCTTACACGCATGCTCCAAATGTTCTCACATAGACTCCATATGTACGACCCCATATGGACAATCCATACAGACTATGGCCAAGTGCAGCTTCCCCTGTCTGACAGGACATAAATCTCAGTATGTATTTACACCACTCACTGTTATTCCTACCTAGTGGATCATCAGCATGCTTCTGTGCAATAGCTAGCTCACGAATTTCAGTTAATTAAAGTAAGGAGATTTATAGTGGAAGCAGAGGTCTTGCCAAGATCTGACACATGACAGATTCTCAAACATGATTAAATTTTATGGACTTTACAACAGTCATCTTAGTTATTGCTCTTGGGAAAAACTGTTCTCCCAGTGTGGAACACAATGTGGATCCAGTGGTTCATGGCACCATAGGCAAGAGTAGCCTTGGTGCCCGTTGGTGTAGTTCATCACTTGAGACATGCTGCTGTTTCTCCTTGCTGATAACCTTTGAGTATTTGGACCAACATTTTCCAGACTGAATGTCCAATTCAAGCTGCACTGGAGAATCCTAACTAGAGGAAATCACTTGGGTCTTGGGGACTGCTTTAGAGGGAAAACATGCTTTGACCATTGAAAGCCTCTCTCTAATGTGCTTTGTCTCACTAAAAAGCTGCTCAAATTCGTCCAGGTTGTTGTTTTTGAAAAGTCAAAGTCCAGGAACGGTGAGCGGAGGCTTTGATTTTAGGTGCTAAACTTTTCATCAGCAAACATGACTAAGCTGCTCACAACTCCTTGCCAAGCCAAGCACACACCTTTCCCACAGAGCAAATGTGCCCGAGGGCAAAGGTGTTAATTGGAAAAGGGAAACTGAGCCTTCCTCCTCCCTCCTCATCAGGTCATGTCCCTCCCCCCAGTCAGCGACACGAGTGGGGATATAGCTCAGGCAAGATGCAGTGCAAAAAGAGGACTGCCTGGATAAAGGTGGTGCGGCAGGGAGCCAAGAGACAGATGGGAAGGTTGTAATTTACAGCAATTGTTATTAGTGCCTGCATTCTCTGGTGCAGAGCGAGGGGGTGTGCAAAGAGGGAGGTGGGGGAAATCCCTCTGAGCACAGGTTTCAGCCACAGTCGGTGCTTTCCTGATGCTCTTCTCACTGCCTTGGGCTCTGGTTCGATGAAACCTGGAGCAGGAGATGGGAAAGTGCAGTGAAGGCAGCGGATGCTGTACTTGATGGAAACGTGCTGTCTGATAGGACACTCCTTAGATTCTCAAACTGGACACCAAAAATGACCAATTACTTCTAACTGTGCCTCTGCTTTCCCTGTGAAGCCATCATCTTACAGAGGATTAGTAAAGATTATTATTGTGGAGCACCTAAATATCATGGCATGTCATTACCTTTATGTAGATTAGTCAATCAGTCAATTAATCTCAGTCCCCTGTTTTAATACTTTGTTGTTTAAATACTGTATAGTACATACATACAGGCATCAGGAATAAAAATGCTGCTAAAGAGTGCTTTTCAATGAAGCAACATCCATCTAGGGCACACAACAGACAGGAGTCTTGCAGAAAAGTGATTACTATCATCTAACTAATGCTTCTAGTTAAATGTTGTTAAACATATTTGAAGAAAATTTCTGTGTCCAGCCTACCTTGTTCAGTGCCAGGCCAGCTGAGTAGCAGGCTGGTGCTTCAGCAGAAGGATGAACCGTTAGCAGGTCCATCTAAAAGATGCCACCTGCCGGCGGCCTCCAGGGGATTTTGGAGGCCTGCCCCTGCCAGCTTTCCCTCAACCACAGCCCCTGTATCTGCTTCCAGAAGAGCCTGTGTGGAGTGAGTAGGCAAAGGCATGTGCACGGCTACAGCCCTGCGCGCTCCTGGTCTCAATCATAGCAGCGGTGACTGGGAGGCTATTAGACAATCCCTGTTGTTGTCCTGAGCAGTGGAGGGTTCTCTACTCTCTGTGTGTGATCCTCAGCAACACACAAGCCCCAAGAAAAGAAAATATCACTGAGACTCACCACAGCGCAGGTGACGGTCTGCAACGGGAAGGATGCCGCTGAAGTTCCAGTACACTTCCTTCCAGCTCACAGCATTGCCCATGGCGCAGTCCAGCAGCTCTTCCCGACCCATCACACGGTCCCACATTTGGAAGTAGTACAAGCTGCCAATGAAGCTGTTGCTTACCCGCACAATAAAGCCATCTTTTCTTTTGTGCAGATGACCCAGCACCAGGCTACCGTTAGGTTTCAGGCACTCAGCACTGCCAATGGTTTCAGTATGCACAAGATTACCATTGCAGTAGACCTCCAGCAGATGTTTCCTGGTGTCCCACAAGCAGCACACGCTATACCACACAAAAAGAGCCAGATTGATCTCAATGTCTCGTCTGGTGCCAAAAAGATAGAGTCTTAACTGCTTGTTTTCTCCGGAGAGTCCAAGCTCTATGTCATTTATGTCAGTGGAGGTGTTGTTAGTGTCATAGGAAAATGCTGCCCAAGAGCTGACATTGGCCGTCCGGTTTAGGTCAATGCACACTGTGAACTGACATAGCCGAGGGATGCTGTAGTTGATCAGAGACACATACTTGTCATTCCTTCCCAGTAAATGCAGTCTTTCTCCATGGAGAGAATGTGTTTCTGTAAGAAAAAAAAAACACTAGGAAGAAGGGTAAAGATGGGAAATAAAGTATCACTTCCAAAGAAGTAGCTGCAATATGACTTCATTAGGTACTTCCCTGAATGATGATTAAAAAAATCAAAAGTTTATTCTATTTCTAGTTTCTGTTGCCTTTGAAATTTAATTCTGAGATCACCCACACTACCAGTAAAGAGAAGATGAGTTTAATTCTGCAGAGGAAAAGTTGAAGTTCTCAAGACATGCCAAATAGGAATCAACACAGAACTCATGTCTAGGGTACACATGATCCAGTATCAGTACAGGTGTCCAGTGCAAAGGTCTTGGTTGCTTGCAGAGTTTGCTTGGTTGCTTGCAGGTTTCACTCCCAGGTGACATATCACACTGCTGACCTTCAGTTTGTAGGTCAAGGTTTCTGCTAAAAATAAAAATCACAAGGATTGTCCTTTTCTCAGGCTCCGGACAGTTTGGGCATCTTTTTTCTTCATTACTTTAAATTACCTCATTATATCTTTACAACCTACTCAAAAGGTTTTGCTGACAGAGGCAACCTCCCTGAGTAATACTAACCACAGACCTACACTGGCAGTGAGTAACTTGCCCACATGTGGCCCCAGCTCTAACTGCAGAGTAGCAGAGTAGTAGCTGCAATGACTCTAACTCAGCCAACCTTGGTCCCTGGAGCAGTCTGGCAAGGGCATGAGCAAGCTGTGGAGGGTCTTTCACTCTGCTTATCTGGGTTTTGCACTCCACAGCAAGTGTCTGTTGTGAGCGTCTGGGACAGGAGGCAGCCCAGTGTAATGCTAAGATGCGTATCTCCATTCTGGCTCCTGGATTTGCCACGATGTCCTACTCAGCGAGTCCCACTGCAGTGACCACCAGCCGTGACAAAGTCCGTTCCCCAGGCGTGAATCTCTGTGACCCTGCACAAAGCCCAGAGCAGCACCGGGCCACAGGCAACGCGTTTAGACAGCAGCACACAGTCACCACAGGCAGGAGCCAAACCTTCCACCAGCTCCATCTGCCACCAACAAAGTGTTTCTGTAGAGGGTGAGGTGGCCCCACGTGCACCATCAGAGGGGTAAAATTTAAGCAGACTCAAACTGTAACCCAGGCCCCTCCTGTCCAAGTGATCTGTACCTTTAACTTGCCATTACACTCACGTGTTTACATGTGCTTCGGTAATTCAGGATATATTTCTTCTCGATAAGAACAGACATTATGTTGAGTCTCTTATAAGTACGTCTAGGGGCTGTATTTACAGCATTTTCCTCAAATGAATTTAATTTTTTCCAAAACCTGGTTGCCATGCAAATCAGGTATTATAAATCACTCAAGTCTAACCTGACCAACAAAACTACAGTGACTATTTGCACTTCTGATAAAGGTTATGCACATCAGGGGCTGCAAAAGTAGCTGGCACTTCTGCTTCACATGCTTCAAACTGGAGACAAGTAGGAAACAATCCATCCGCAGAGTCTAATTCTCTGTAGGTGATCAAAAGTGGTGCGTTGCTGTCCTAGCATAACCTTGGGCACTTGAAGTGTAAAGAGAATATTTCTATTACACATAACACCACTCTTCTATCTTTCATGTCTGTCTTGGCTCTAAAATCAGCTCCACTGAACACCTCACTGTGTTGTGGAGCATGCACCCGCATCCTGGTCTAGCTCTAAGACAGTGGTTTGCACCCAACATAATTATTTTCCCCTTGAGTGGGAGTACGCAGGATTCAGAACAGCAGTATAACAGCAGTGTAACATTCATCCAGTGGAGGCCCCTGGGGGGCACGAGAGTTCAGCACCCCCCCACTAACACACCAGCCTCTGCTTTGCACATGAAATCACATGGCCAGTGCTGGGGTGCAGGAGGAGATCCATGATGGAGCTTTAGGGGATGCAGAGAGGTGGATGTAGCTACTCAATTACAGCTCAAGCAGTGTGTAATTCATTACAGCACAAGAAAATGCAGCAACCATCTTCAGCCATACTTTCCAGCAGGGCCCAAAAACCCTTTTGAAGAAGCCAGTTCCCATGCGTTTGTCCAAGAGATGGGAATACCTGTGGGATGTACGACTGGGAGAGCTGGCACCCATTCCACTAGTGACCAGAGCACCAGTGTCTTATAGCAGATATACTAGGAGCCTCTGTCCAAAGCTCAGAGAAAGTGGGTAAATTTGGCAAGACCTAGGCATTCAGTGGTTTTATTATGAAGGCTTTACTTGGAAAGAGCTCATTTTTCCCTTGATGGCACTATGTGCTGGAAGTGACCCCAGTGCAACAGGGCGCATTTTAGAACATGAATTATCTCTGTGCCCTGTTTGTTCTTGAGGAGAAGTCAAAGAAAGAAATACAAAAACCAACATAGAACTAATTATTGTTTTACAGTGCAGCAAAAGGGTGTTGAGTGTGTTCATGAAGCACAGCTTACTGTGTTAGACTCAGGGCCGGAATTATTACTGGGGAATTTACTTCTTGCCAGTAGCTTTGTGCTTTTCCCAGAACACCACGAAGTGAGTAAATGCACAGCTCTTATTTTACAGGGGCCAAAGACACCCAGGAAGGAAAGAAGTGAATAATGACAAAACCAAGAGGCTTTTCACCTCCAAACGTGGACAGCAGTCGTGATGCAACCAAAACCTGACATTTCACTCCTTGCCAGATTTTCTCATTTCTACTGACTCATCTGCAGCCCAGACTGAACCAGCATCCCAGGAGAGGGTGTGCATCATGCCCAGACCCGCAGGTCTGCAGGCCAACATATGCTCAGGATAGACAAGGACCCAGCACCAGTTGCAGTGAGAAGGGAGATCCAGAGCAAGAATAACTATTGCACTGGGGCGGAACGAGAGGAAAGTGGGCTCCTATATAGATCATAGAATCAATAGATATACTGTGTGTGCACAAACCAGGAGACCAGCAGACATGCCCTGGGCTGAGGGATGCCCAGAGCCCACTGGCAGCACCATCCCTAGGGTTAATCCTGAGGGGAATTACTGTACCTGCCAGGAGGGAGAGATGAGCAGCAACCATCAAGATGCAAAGAGCCTTGTGAGAAGAGTGGTGTCCAGGGCCACGTGTGAACCTCTTCATTCTTTAGGCATGTTCTGAAAGAAAGATGTTGGTGATTGCTCCCTTACCACACACTCGGCTGAGAAATTCAAACTGCTTTCTGCGGTTTGCTGAAATGGCATTCACAGCACAGGAGCCCAGAAGTCCTCCCTCCCCGTGACCAAGCTGAGTCACTAGATCAGTCACCTCTGTAAAGGTCACAGCTATACAAACCCTCTGGTTTCTGCGGGTTTCCAAAAGAGATGAGGTTTACACAATCACACTCTCTGTGCACATTTTGTCCATCTGTAACAACTCTGCAAACCTGTTAGCAACTTTCAATGTGCTTTGACAAAAGGAGTCCACGTCTGAAGTGGTGAAGTTCCTACAAATGTGGGGAAAACAAGAAGAGAAAGCCCTACTGGTGAGGTCACACTGGGTGTGCTGACCCACTGCTGTACCCCACAGACTCCCGTGGGATGGGAGACTGGGATGGGAGACCGGAGAGCAGCAGGCTGGGCAAGAGGCACATGGAGAAGCAGGACACAAGGCTGCTCACAGACAGCACGGTCAAACAAAGTATTCGTTCTCACCGCTGGGCTTTGTCTTCAAACAAACTTTCATCAGTTTAATTGAGCCCTGAGAACATACTTGTAATTGGGGAAAGGCTAATTCCGGGGTATAAACATACACTGAACACTTAAAGCAAAATCCAAATGTGCCACTCTAAATTGGAAGGACTTTGTCCTATTTTGTGCTTCATTTTGATTACATTTGCTTCAAAGATGACCATAGTGAAACCAAAGCAACTGCGCGGACAAGCAGCCTCGATGCCCGAGAGCCCCGGTCTCACCCCTAGTGCCCTGCACGCTCCCCTGCCGTGCTCTGCTTTCTCCACTCGCTTCACCGGGCATCAAAGGCAAAGGCTTATTCTTGGTTTAGGACCACACTGGATTAAGTCTTCAACGAATAATGGCGTATATAAAATGGCTGTAAGGGATGGACTAGATCCTCAGATTGCCTGAGTCGGCCAAGTTCAGTGGAGTCTCCTGGCTTCACATCAGACACAGCCCTCGCCTGGGGCTCCCCACGAAGGGTTATTACACTCGGACCACTGGCAAAATGGAAATTGTCCCTTTGTGTCCAGACATGTAAAATAAACATTAGAAAATTATTTTAAAACGAGGCTAATAGCAACTGTCTCAATTTCCTTTTAAAACTGCACTTTACAAAACTTGTAAGGTTAGGAAATTTCATCCAGTTTTCCATTTACTGCTGTGACAACCTTCCCAACCTTCTTCTTTATTACTCCGGCAATGATTTGCTGACTTTTGCAGTAACATTTAAGGAACAAATCATTATGTTTTCAGTTTGTGGTACCTAAACAAGACTTTTTACATATTTCATGTGATTCATACTTTCTCCTAAAAACACCATAGTCATTAAAAGGTGCAGCTCAAAAACTCACCTCCCTGTGTAGCACAGAAATCAAGGCAGATTTTTGCCATTCCACGCTGTTTCTTCCATCAGATGCCAAAACACTGATGAAGAGAAATATGAAGAGAAAATCAGGTGGGATGTTGTGATGTTTTCAGTAGATCAGGTAATGAAGAGCAAGTGATTTCTGTTCTGAAACTGCATTTCTTAGGTACTGGAAAACCTGCTGTGACAACAAATCTCTGTTCCCAACCTTCTCCTTTATTACTCCAGCAATGATTTGTTGACTTTTGCAATAACATTTAAAAAACAAATCATTATGCTCCCAGCCTGTGGTACGTCACAGGGTTGTATTAAGTTTTGTCCAGAACAAAGTCCAGAACATGGAGCATTATCAAACTCAAATTAGAAAGAAACAACAGAACTGAAGTGTTCCGCTTGTTTCTGATACAAAAGTGACTGCACTAAAGAACCTAAGTTGTAATTTTCCCACAACAGCTTTCTGCCTCTATTTGTAGTATATAGCACTATAACGTAAAGATCAACCAGTATCATTCTTCCATCCCAAAAGATATTAATCAGTCACTGTCAAGTTAAAAAAATATTAAATATTGTGTGCTACTAAGAAAGACTTTATGAGTTGAGATCAAGGAGGGAGTGGGACCAGGAAAGGATGGTCATTTTGGCTAGCTAGAGGTTAACTCTTCAATTTTGTGAGTTAGCTCAAGAGAGATGAAATGTTTTGCACAGAGTCCTGGAGGGCTTGCTCCTGTCTCCTGCAGGAGTGCGATCCCAGTGGCTCCCAGCCGTTCAGCTCCCTAACTGGATCTGGTTAGGGACATAAGAGGAACTGGAGAGAGCCTGAACCTCCCAAGGCTGCTTAACACTGCAGGTCACCCTGCTCCTCCTGACACTTTAGTCGCCAAACAGGATGGAAGTGTCCCTTTCTTCCGCTTCCCTAAATAATCTAGTCATGCATCTTCACCTTCCTCCTGACAAATCTGTCTCCTCCTCTCGCTTACTCCTGTATAAAGACACCAGACTTCAGGTTTCTCCCCTAAACACCACTCCAGCACCCCTGAGCCAAACTGCCCCATCTCTCAGGAACTCCTCTCCCGCCTTGTCTTCTCACTGCGCACCAGCACAGACCCTCTCACAGCTGCGGCCGAGGACCCTCCTGCCACCCACCAGCCTCAGCCAGCAGGTTTTGTTCTCTCTCTCGTGGCAAGAGCATGGAAATTGTTAGGCATGCACTGTTTGTCTCATCGAATCCATGCTCCACAGTTTCTAGTATTCACATAAAGTCTTGCATGGAAAACCCTTCTTCAAGCATGGGACTGAACAGGACACTGAAGGATCCTTCAGAAGTCATCTTTTTGTCAGAAGTCATCTTTTTTGTACCTGTCAACTTTTTGAACCTGTTAAACCAGTATCATGGCATCATGGTATGGAAGGAGTTTTTACTGCAACTTCAGAGCAACTATTAAGAAGGTCTATCTGTCCTCTTTCTCCACTTCCTCCATCTTCTTCTCTGTTTCCCTGTTTTTCAGTTTAGTTTGGTGTTTTTAATTATTTAACACAAATTGTTTATCAGCTTTGCTAGAGATTATTGCAAAGGGTCTGGAAGGCCACGTGAGGGCATCTCCTCTTTAATGCTAAGTCACAGGCAGAGCCTGATCTAATAACCAGCATCCTGCATCCACTTCTGGTCAAAACTTTCCTGGGAAGTTTTGGAGGAGGACACTTAGAGCAGGAAAAAACTCTGTGATTAAGGAATACAATGAAACGAAGAGAAGCAGAAAATGAAGACAGAAAACATTCAGACTCTCTGGGGCCATTCAGATAAAAAGAAATTTTACTTTACTTTGGATGTGCGAAGATTTTTGCCAGGAGGTTGCTATGGTGACTTTTCAGCTCTCCCAAACCTCCTCATACTGTAATTACATCTCAAAGCCTGTGAGCTGGGAATCTTTGATTCTTCGGAGGAAGAATGTGGGTGGCTGACTCTTCAGGATGTTTTTCAACCAGCCATTTTTATTCTAAAACAAAACAAAAAGATTCATATATTTGTGCCTTTAACAGCTGCTTACAGTTTCTATTAAACCTTCTGGCCTCACGGGTTGTCATCCTCCCAAGACCTTCCTGAATAATTTTTAACTAAAAGGCTCCCTTTTGAGAACACTTCAGTCCTGCATGATGCATCAGCGAAGGTTATTTAGAGGATGTTTAGCTCTCAATCGGACTGAGCTTTCTTTATATCTCTGGACATTTAAATTTGGTCTCTACACTACAACGTGCATAATAACGGGTGTATTTTTGCATTTCCTCAGCTTTTGTTATTTACTTCAGTTGTCACTGATTGAGTGCTGAAAGCACAGAGCCTGTGCAGATATTTTCCACATTTTCTAGTCAACGGACCTACCCAGCTCTGCACAGCTCCCCTGAGATAACGCGCCGTTAAAAAAGAGTTAAAAACCAACACACATATCCTTTGAAACATTCAGACCACTGTTGTTCAAAATAAACAGTATAAAATATTTGACAGCAAAGGGATCCGGTGTTAAGTTTCAGCAAACAATTGTTATTCTTTTTCTCCAGGACAGAAGCATCAGGGCGCCTTCCACGGCCACGCAGTACGGAGACCTTGCAGCACGGGGCGGCTGGCGGAGCAAAGGGAGGGCTGGAACTGCCCTCTGGACACTGATCTCTAAATAACATGCTTGATCATAAACCGTAATCCTGCAAATTCCATTGTAAAAGATTAGATTAGTTCACTAAATAAGGGCAGGAAAAGATTAGCAGGGTGCTAATCTTCTCTTTCAAAAACCTTGAAAATGTAAATATTACAGAGTATTTTCTGGGACAGATGACAGCTAGCCCATACAAACTTCTAGGTTACAAATTGGTTTTAATACAAAATTGACTTTTTTCATTTCTTTCTAACTTCAAAGCTAGGAGAAAACCTTTTTGACCATGATTTATTGAATCCTGTAGTAGGTATTTTAGATGCCTGGGTAAAATCCTTATGAAGTTGTAGGCGTTCAAGAAATACAACTTAAAGAATACAACCTTCAGATTTACTTGAGTCCTTTCCTATAGGCTGACTCTAGAATGACATATTGTTCTGTCAAAATAACCCAAGCAGGTATTTTTAGAAGGAAAAAAAATATCAAATTTTCTACATTCTCTTTTTTTATTTTAAAAGATTTATACTTTTAAAATTCAAATTGGAACAAGGATTTTGAGTGACCCGAAAGAACATGTTCTTAAATATGTTTTCCTTTTTCTTTCTTGGTTATGTTTCAACACGAGAAATAGTAGAAATGTTAATGAAATCAAAATCCTGTTCCCCCCTAGAGTAGTTATCGATGGTTCCTGAAAGAAACCCAGAGTCAGCGAACATTTTGCACCTTGTTTATCGCAGTCTGCTCTGCCATCACCTCGCGTTGCCTTTCTACAGGGCAGAAGCGCTGGGTGAACTTCCAGAACATGGTGTTCAG